ATATATATATATATATATATATATATATATATATATATTGTTTTTTTTAATTGTGTAACCATTATATTTTTGTTTCTCAATATTTTCCTTGAAATATTTTTTTAATTTTATATTTTTATTTTTTATTATTTTTATTTTTTTATTTCAAACGTAACATTCGCACGAGACAGACTTGCTACTACGATGATTGGCATGATTGCCATTCTGGCAATTAGTACCAACCGGTGGTAGTGATACACACACACACACATACACACACATATATATATATATATATCGTCAATTGATAAAATTGTTAAATCGAGCAGGACCGAGGTTAAATCGACGGCAGGTTGCTCTCTCATGGATTCAAACAAGAAGGGTTTGGAGAGTATCGTAATTGGAGGGTCGTTGTCGGTACTAGACCTTCAAATTCGATTGCAAACTCCTCCCTCAAAATCCCTTCCTGTTATTACCCCCCTTTTCCTGTTCTCATCTTATTTCAATTTTCATTTCTTTTTCTTTTGGTGTGCAAGGTTCATAGTTATACTTCATTAAAATTAATACACCAGATATATCTGTTTATTTCACATCGTTTTCAATAACGTAAACGATATTACATTTTGCTTTCCATTCTCTCTCTCCCCTTTATTATTTATTTTTATTCTCCCTTTTTCTTCTACCCTTTGAATTTTTTTCTTTTTTATTTTTTTTTTTTTGCAGCAGCACCAGCAACTGATACTACAATTTTATCTTTATTGTTATTGGATTTATTTTTATTTTTTTTTTTTTTTATTTTAAAACGGGAAGGAGTAAAATCGGTTATTGAATGTAAATCGATCGATTAATTGTTTATGTATTTCTATAAATATATATATATATATATATATATATATATATATATATGGGGAAGGATTAGGTATATAGGAACTATGTATTTGCAGCATCATATATATATATTTTAATATATATAAATAATATTCAATAATAAAACAGTATAAAATAAATAATTAATATATATATAAATAATGTTCTAATATTTATGCATATAATATTGTATATATATATATACATAATAGAAAGGGTTGTGTATAGGAACTATGCAACTGTTGTAGCATCATATATATATAGTATAAATTATATTGTATTATAAATTGTACACATATAAGAAACAAGTAATTACAAATTAGCTTTTAAAATAAAAAAAAAATAATAATAATAATAATATAAAAAGGAAATATATAGAAAATAGTTTTTATTTCAAAAAAAAATATAATAATATCTAAATTTCAAATTTTCAAACCTAATGATGACAATTAGGTTTAAAAAACATAAAAAATACTATTTTTGATAAAATCAAACCATGAAGATTATTCAAATATAAAAACGATCTTATATGTGTGTGTGTTTGTGTGTGTGTGTGTGTGTGTGTGTCGATTCTTCAACCACTTGCTATTGTCCCTCTAGAGTCTTAACGACCATGATACAAAAGGGAAGAGTAAAGGAGAAGGGAAAAGGGACTCACCAAGTTTACGGTTCGATAAGCACGCAAACTTTGCAGGAACTTTTTACTCTGCTTTTCTATCCGTCTCACTTCGTCTGAATGTGAGATATCTGGAAGTACTAGATAGAAGGACAGTTTCAGAAACGAGGATGGGGTAAGGTAAGGGCGGGATAGGGTTGGGTGGAAAAGGGACTGAAAAGTAATAACGGGTTTTCTTCTTCTATACACACACAAAAAAAAATTCAAAAAAATTGTAGATAAAACTTGTTGAACTTTTACAATGAATAGATAGATTAGATAGATAGATAGATAGATAGATAGATAGATAAAGATAGTATTATAATAATAATAATAATATTAATGTATACATTTGCATTATTTACTCGTATATTATAATAGAATAAACCAAAAGTTGTTTCATATTGGGATCTCTAGCACTTGAATACGCTATCTGGTGGCTAAATTCAAAATTAGAGTAGATAGGTCGAATTGCTACGTCACGTGGGATCTCTAGCACTTGAATACGCTATCTAGTAGCTAAATTCAAAATTAGATTAGATAGGTCGAATTGCTATGCCATGCCCCTTGTCAGAGATCCCAACAGTGCAATATTTTTGGAAATCAATAAAATTACTCTACATACAAATGAATTATTAATTTAACAAATGCACAAGTATTTAATTCACCCTGATAATATATTAAATAAAGTATATAATATAATATTATATTATATAAAAAATATAAATATAATAATTCTTTAGTATTATATACAACAAAGAGTCAACAACAAGAAAATGTTATGATTCATCTTATTGTTAATTCGACAAATTCGAAATAAAATCATTTTTGATCCTAAATAGAGAAAAAAAAAGAACAAAGTTTTTATCATAGACCATTAAATCGTGTGTTACAGTTACGTGAATACACTCTGACAGAAACCTATCACGAAGACGACGTCGAGGTCGAGTTCGTAAGCAATGACAATCTACAATCTAGCAATCCAACCCCAAGAGGAATCGATCCTAACAGAGATCTAAACGAGGCCATTGCTGAGGAACGGAGGGAAATGGACACTCAAAGATACAGGTAAAAATCTTCTTCTTTTTATTATTCTTCTTCTTCTTCTTCTTCTTCTTCTTCAATCTCTTTTTCTTTCTATCTTTCTCCAACTCATTTGTTTCAGTCTCAATTTTTAGGTTAGTTAGATAAGAAACTTATCTTACGTTAGTTTTTTATAATTATAGTTAATGTCAATAATAAATAAAAGAAAAATGTTGTTAATTCAATAAAAGAAGTAAACATTGGTTGATTTGGTTGCATTAGTAATGGTTATTTGTGATGTACAGTTAGAGAAAAAGAAAACAAATCATTTGTTCCCGCCAAAAGTCATTTTTTCCCGCCATAATAAAATTGTCACTGAAATGGGGTTAACTTTATCCATATCTTTTTTATCTTTTTTATTTCATATTTTTTCTGAGATGGACCTCAAAAGAATAAAACGGAATATTCGTATTTCTATTTCTTTATTTAAATACTAAAAATAATTAACAATAAATTAATTAATGCATAAAAATAGAATTTTTCTTTATATTTCATTACTTCAAAGGAATTTTTTTTCTCTTTTTTTTTCTATCTTTGCTCTTACATTCTGTCACGTATTGTAAACAAAATTAAAAAATCAATAAAAAAAAAAAACGATATAGTTATCAATAATATTATCAAGAAACAAAAGGATTTCCTATTCAAGTTATGCATATGTGTGTGTATGTGTGTGTGTTCAAACAAAATATAAAACAAAAAAAAAGAGAAATGAAAATGATAGAAAATGAAAGAAACAAGATAAAAGATAAAAAAAAAAAAAAAAAAAAGAAAAATATAAAAGACAGTTTGCTGTACCAAAAGATGTTCTTCCCTCTTGCAAAGTGCACTGAAGGGGGTTGTACCTTCAATGGACTCATTCAAAGAAAGGGTTTTGAAATAGGACTTCATCGACTAAACAGCTTGGAAAGAGTGATTCTACTTTCTTCTTCTACAACCTTTCTCTTTCTTTCTCTCTTTTTATCTTGAAAGAAGAACCAACTCTTGTGCATACATATGAGAAGAAGAAGAAGAAGAAGAAGAAGAAGAAGAGGAAGAGGAAGCAGAAGAAGAAGAAGAAGAAGAATCTCATCTCTCTTTTACTATCTTTCTCTTTTTATTCTATTGAACTTTCTTCGTTACTCTCTGACGCCCTTTTCACGTCACGCGATAAAGTTTCCAACCTTTTCTTTACATTAACACCCTACTACTTTCTCTTTCTCATTCACTGTCTTTCTATCTGACTGTCTGATGTGTCTGAAGGTCTGGTTGGTTGTCTGACTGTCTTTCTCATTCAATTCTACTACTTGTTCACTTTAATTTTTATTATAAGACTACTACTACTACTACTACTACTACTATCTGAAATGTTCTCGTGTTACCTTATTCTCATTGTCCCAACGAATCTTTTTATTTTGGTTCATACGTGAAAAAGAACTAAAACACGAATTTATTAGTCTCGTTATTTAAAATTTTGACATTTTTCTTTCTCTTTTTTTTTTTTTGTAAATTATAAAAATACAAATTAAAATCCTTGTTTTTAAAAACAACACGTATATACGTATAACTTCGTACCGTATTAAATATATTACATTTTTTAATCGTGAAATAGAAATACACTATACATATATCTATATATATATATATATATATACAGTAAGTTTTACAAGAGAAAATCGAAGAAAAAGTTAATCGAAGAAATCACAGAGAGAAAATCTCAAGGGACACTAACCTCCAGCGATTTATAAAGCACGAATTCTTTCTATATATATATATATATATATTATATCCGTGTATTAAACGATCCTCTCCTTATCAGTGTAATATCCGACACGTTATCCACAAGGACAGGACTGGACGAGATAAAACTCGTACACGATCTTATCGAAGATCAAATTGGAACTGTGAAATGTAATTGTGAATCAAACTCACTAACACAATTTTATAATATTATATTGTATTAAACTAACAACATTATTTTTATCAAGATAATAATTATTGTTTTTTTTTTTTAATAAGTTATACGAGGGTCAAATTTTACTGTAATATAAGTTGAGTGTATTAGAATATTAAAAATATTGTTAATTAATCGAAAGAAACGTGTATTGTTGTTTAAAACCACCTAGTATATGATCGGAGTACTGTCTTCTTCGAAATTCACCTTCAGACTGGGCAGGTTGTCATCTATGAAAATTCTTACATTCAATATTGTTTATATGACTGTCCTAACATTACGCATGTGTGCAACGGTAATAATTCACCTAATTAATAAAATTTAAGATAAAAACGTTCTAATTTGAATATTTTTCTTATTCTAACGTAATTATTTTGACACTCCTGTCCAGTGATGACTTCCAAGCTAAAATTTTGCTGTAATACAAATAGAGTGCATTAGAATATTCAAATAATTGTTAATTAATCGAAATATTGAAAGGGAAGATTCAAAGTACGCGCGCAAATTGTGTACTCCTGTGGTGGCCTCTTTCGGTCAGTGTGTTCACTACCACGTTCTTCGGGTATTCCCCCGTGTGCGAAATGCGATTTTACACGTTATTTAAACAATAATACGTTTAATATTTAGATATTCTTTTTATGTAAGACTCCTTGGTGTTTAAAAACACCATGTATATGATCGGAGTACCGTCGAGTCTAGGTTATTAACCTTTTTAGGAAAAAAAAATTAAAAAAGGAAGGGTTGGGGGGGTTGGATTTCGATAGAAAACGGATCACTTATATTTTGTTTTTATCTCACGCGATACAATTCAAGGATCACGAAGTAGTGGACCCTTATCCCTATCTAGTTCGGTAAGATGCTTGGTTATATAACAGTTAACCGTAAAATTTTACGATTATTACTTATATCAGTTAGTTCTATAGAGTTAATAATAATATCTTTTTTTTTCTTTCCTTCTTCTTTTCATTTTACATACACACTTTTACTTTTTATTATTATTATTATTATTATTATTATTATTATATTATACTTTGGAAAAAAATTTTATGACAAAATTGCTTATATTATTTCTTTTTACAAACTCTCAGATATTATCCCTTAATTTATGACAGGAAACATTTGACGAATTGTTGAATTAAAATAAGGGTTGAAACACGTGATATATATGTATATATGTGAGAAAAAGAAAATAAGGGCTGAAAAAAAAACGTGTAAAAGTATCCCATACTCGTTGTACTTTTTTTTTTTTACAACTCGTATTCAATAGTTTTACTTGTGAAAGTGAATGAGGGTTCATTTTTATCTCACACTAGTAACAAATTTTTTTTTTTTTTTTTTTTATTTTGTCCTCTTCTCTAAGTACCACCAACCACCTCGAAAAAGTTCAATTTTTTGTTTTTCTTTTTCTTTCCCTCTCTCTCACTGTCGTGTTCACGATTTTCAACTTTATATCAATGGCATCGGTAAAAAGTGCACTCGAACTGAACGTTACAAAAAAAAAAAGAGAAAAAATAAAATATTCTCACCCTTTCGATACTATTCCTCGGACCATCCTCCTCCTACGTTCTCGTAACCAAAAAAAAAAAATCCTATGTTAAAAAAATAAATATACTGTATCTATTTCTATTTAATCTTTTGACCAATGTGTGTTGCATGTTTTCAAAACTCGACATATTTTTATCAAAACGACAAACAATTTCGTTTAATTTTCTATGAAACGGTGACATAAAATAATGGAATTTTTAATAAATTTTAAATTGTTAAAGAGAGAGAGAGAGAGAGAGAGAGAGTATATAAAACAAAAATCATTTATATACATAAAATAATTTTCTATTGGACAAATTTTAATTGACAACAAATAAAATATATTATTTAAATATTAAAATATTTTGGAAAGAAATAAATTTGCAATTTGTTTGAATAAACTTTTTCACATCTAATAACCGTACAACTTATAATACTTCTTTATGATTTTTATTATTATTATAATACTAGATAATATATTGAAATATTTCTATTCATTTATATTAAAAAAGATCTAATTTCATTTTATCCATTTTTTTTTTTTAATGACAATACTTATCATCAGTACAATACCTATAGAATATCATTATCATTGTTAGTCCGAGAATTTGATCGCATTTTTTTTTCCTTGTTCCTTTTCAAATCTAACAATGGGGAAAAAATATAAGAAAGAAATCTCGAAGAAAATCATAAACGAGAGTCAGCATCTTCAACGAATCGAATGATTTCTTCCTCTCTCTCTCTCTCTCTCTCTCTCTCTCTTTCTATCTTTTACTTCTTTTCTGTTTTTTTTTTTTCTAAACGTTATCTATTTAACTATGTATTCCCCATTCCGTCGCCCTACACCCCATCCCCCATGAAATAAGGATTACGCGGTGGATTTCGATTTGCAGTAAAAATAGATGGAAATTTTAGTGAGATCTGAATAAAGGGGAACTACTTCTAGTAACAATAAAATGTCAAGAACAGAAGAAGTAGAAAAAAAAAAATAAAGTGTTACATTATTCGTAGTAAGCCACTAGAAAAACGTCTCTAAACTCTGTGTAAGTGTTTTACCAATCTTTCTTGTAACAATTCAATTCATTTATCTTTTAAGATACGAATATCAAATGTTAATCAAATTAATTGGATGAATTATTACCGTTGCACGTATAAAACCGCATTTCGCACACGTGGGAATACCCGAAGAAGGTGGTAGTTAACACGCTGACCGAAAGAGGCCACCACAGGCCACCACACATTTGCGCGCGTACTTTGAATCTTCCCTTTCAATATTTCGAATAATTAACAATTATTTGAATATTCTAATGCACTCTATTTGTATTACAGCCAAATTTTAGCTTGGAAGTCATCACTGGACAGGAGTGTCAAAATAATTACGTTAGAATAAAAAAAATGTTCCAATTAGAACGTTTTTATCTTAAATTCTATTAATTAGGTGAATTATTACCGTTGCACACATGCGCAATATTCGGACAGTCATATAAACAACATTGAATGTAAGAATTTTCATAGATGACAACCTGTCAGTCTGAAGGTGAATTTCGAAGAGGACGGTACTCCGATCATATACTAGGTGGTTTTAAACAACAATACACGTTTCTTTCGATTAATTAACAATTATTTAAATACTCTATTGCATTCTACTTACATTAGAATAGTCTTATACATGAATATATAGAATGTACTTCATACATTCACGTTGATCAATTAAAAATGAAATTTTACTTTAAATAAATGAATAAACATCTTTCTCTCTGTCTTTCTCTCTCTCTTTCTCTTAGATAATAATCAGCCAAGTGTAAAACGATCATAATTTTCTTCAAAACGAGTAGTACTACCTAATGATACTGTATATATATATATATATATATATATTGAAATCTTACAAAACGATTTTATATAGTAGTACATTTAACGTTACCATTCACTCCTTTAAGTATCATTTTCTCTCATCAGTTTTCCATTTTCTATCTTATCGTTATGACTCGTATAAATTTATAGACAAAAGTTAAAAAGAACTTTTTCTTATTTTTTACTGGGTCATTAACGATTCATTATCGTCGTTACTATTCAATTTACTATTCTATATAAAAAAAATATTGGCCATAATAATTTATTATTCTGATATCAAAGTTTATTACAATGATAAATCTAATAACAATAATAATAATAATAATAATAATAATAATCTGTATATTTTATTGCTATTAGGTGTTGAAATTAATTTGTAGAATTTTTACTAGCCACTTATAACAAATATTTTAAATGAAAATTAACAAAAAAAAAAAAATTACATAATTCAAAATACTCTGTCAATTTCTTGCTGCAATTGATGATTTATTATTCATTGTTATTATTAAAACAATTTATATTTTCAGATATTGGACGACAACGAGTAACGGACAACAACAATCAGTCACGGATATTCCACGTGATGGTAAAACTGCAATAATCAATAGCATTGCATCGTCTTATGCATTGCAAAGACCAAGATTGAATGCAACACCGACTCCTAGAACCACAGGAAAATTGATCGATCAAAATAATAAATATAACAATGATGAAAAATCAAATTGGCCTTATTATCAAATGTACAGGCACTCGATGGAAGCACAAAAAGCTGAAATTTTCAAAGACATACAAAGAAAAATGTCGAACACGACGAGTTTATCGAAATTTGGCCAGTCATGGGTCAACAATAATGCAACCGATGTTATATCCCAACAACGTCAGCATAAACTTAGAATGAAGCATCATAGATTAATGGCTAAAGGAAAACATCTTAGAACGCGTAAGTTATATTTTTATTCATCAATCATACCTTCCAACTAAGTTTCAATAATTAATAATTATTGAAATAATTTTAATACAATTAATTCATTAATTATAAAAATTCTAATCATAATCTAGTAATTTAACAAAATTATATTATATTAATTTGTTATTGTTAATATAAATTGTGATAATAAAATTAATATTTAAATATAATATAATTATTAATTATTATTAATATAAATATAATTAATTATTGTTAATCTGTCTCTCTCTCTATTTATTTTTTATTTTATAATTAACTATAACTAAAACAATGATAAAATAATCTAAAAGTATTTCGAGGAAGCACATATATGCGCTCATAGCATTCGAAGGTGTTAAATTCAAGTAAATAAATTTCTGAATTGACTAAATATTTAAATAAAAATATTATATTAAATAATTACAAGGTTATATTACATAATTTGAAATTTTGTAAATGTTTAGGTCCACCAAGAGATTGCAAAGTTAGCGAATGGGGTCCATGGAGTGCATGCAGTCGTAGTTGCGGTGTCGGGGAAACCCAAAGAACGAGAAAAGTGACGATAAAATCTCGCCGTGGTGGCGCTGCTTGTCCACCATTGAAAGAAACAAAATGGTGCGGCAGCGTTAGTCCTTGTCCGGAAAATAAATCTAACCTCGAAACGTTTCATTGGTAGTCGTCGTAATTWTAAAGGAATATTACAAACAACAAAACAAAACAATTCTACTTTTGGGTCCTAATTTTACATAATTGGACGAAGAAATAAAACAAACACTTACACATATACATACAAACTAATAATGGCTATATTATATCGAGGAATTTAATTTATTTAATAATATATATATTATCTTCTCGGTTAATAAGGAATTTTTTCAACATGAAAATACTGAAGAATATCTGTTTAAAAAAAAAAAAAAAATAAGATAAGAAAGGAAAAGATAAGAAAAACACAATGGGAAAATTTTAATACTTCTCGCTCTCTTATGGTGTTATTTGTGTGTTCGTGAGAAACACACATACACACACGCGTCGTATATATATATACGTATAAAATTACTATCAATCGTTTGGAACGCAATAATTATCCATTGAACAAATGTAGTCATAGCTAAATCACCAAAGATTCATCATACTTGAAATATATATATAAATATTATTATTATTATTATTATTATTATTATTATTATTGTTATAAATTAAGTCGGTTGATAATTGTCGTTATTTGCCTAACGATTGTACGTTTTATTATTATTATAATTATTTTTGTTCTAATATGAGAATGAAAGATTTAATATTTTATATTTATAATATAAAAAAAGAATATTGTTATATAAATTATTACTTTTTCGAATATGATACGTATGTGTATGTGTATATATATATTTGTTTGTTTGTAATAATATCAATTGGTATTGGTAATGAAAAAATGATTGATTCATCTGAATGAAATATTTGCACTTTCTTTTTTTAAACATGCAATATGAAAAACACCTTCAAACGGCAAACTATAAATGAAGTCAATATAATAATAGTTTATAATAGGCTTTAAACAATAACAACAACAATAGTAATCAACATTCGAACACACAATTTTTCGTAATTTTCTTATGAAATGAATTATTAAAAAAAAAAAAAGAAAATAGAACAAAAAGAAAAATTTCTAGTCAATGATTTAAACCAAAGAATAAAAATCGAATCATCCCCCTCCCTATCATGTCTCGTATGTCATTATAACCCTACTAAAAAAAAAAATAAAACAAAAAAAGCTAATAAAATTAAATGTAATAAAAAAACAAAGAAGAACAAATAGAATTGCCATAGTCCTTGCGTTTAGAGTCAAAATTAAAATTAATAATAATAATAATAATAATAATCCTAATAATAATAATTAATAATAATGATGACGATAATTAACCAAACACGATGATAATAATTAAAAAAAAAAAAGAAACATTAGAAGGAGAAAAAAAAAACATCCCCTAAACAGAATTAGACGTTTTTTATAGACACGCAGAAAACCAAAAAAAAATACCCAAAAAAAAAATAATAAGATTTTCCAAAAAGTGTGTTCATATAATGTGTTGTATTGGTAGTAGTATTGAAAAAAAAAAAAAACAAACAAACAAACGCAGACCTAAACCACAGCTGAATGTTAGAAACAAAAATAAAATTAAATAAAATTAAATTAAATTACATTAAATTAAATTAATAAAAAAAAATTGAGATTATTATCAAGTATAAGATTTAGAAAAGAAAAAATTATAAAAAAAAAAAAAAACAGCGTTCCTTTTCGAAAATCGCGTTCGACATCGTTGAAATGTTTGAGAGAAAAAGAGAGAGAGAGAGAGAGAGAGAAAGTAAAATGGTTTCCTTAAAATTAGATCATTCGTCATATCATTATTGGCACACCTCTGTGTTGTGCGTTTTATGATGAGATAATATTATAACTACGTGCTCTTTGTATGCGTGCGTGCGTGCATGCGCGAACGAGAGCTTGCCGAAAAATAATTATTACAAAATAATTTTCAAAGAGAAAAATGCAAAGAAAAAGAAAAAGAAAAAGGAAGAGAAAAGAAAAAAATAATAATAATAATAATAATTTTGCAAATAATGGTATAAAAAATAAAAAAAAAAAATAAAAAATCACTCGTGACAAAGAAGAAAATAAATAATAATACAAAAAAAAAAAATTGAAACAAAAAAAAATTAATATCTTTTCGCCTAACGGCAGACGTATATAATAATAATAATAATAATAATAATAATATTAATAATAATAAATAATAATATTAATATATTAATATTAATAATAATAACAACAATAAAAACAATAATATAATAATAATAAATAATATAAGGAAAAAAGAACACGTTTGTTCTTATCGTCGCTGTTTCCCCAGTTTGTTGCTCGACGTAACAAAAAAATGAAAAATAAAAAACAAAAACAAAATGAGAAGAACAAGAATAAGGAAAAATAACAAACAAACAAAAAAGGGGGAAAATTTTTACAAAGATATCATCAGGTACGGTTTTAGAAAGATGAGTGTATTATATCTTTAGATATTATAATGAATTTAACAATAATAATAATTATAATAAACTAACGTTTAAAACAATAAATCGTTAATTATTAGCGAAGTAATAATAATAATAATAATAATAATAATAATAATATTAATAATAATAATTAAATTGCTGTGCGCATATCGGTTTGCGCAACCAAAAAAAAATGGCGTGCGTACCTCCTTTGCTTCTTCTTCTTCTTCTTCTTCTTCTTCTTCTTCTTCTTCTCCGTTCGATCATTTATTTCGATTTATTTATTGTTATTTTTACTATTATCCATAAACTAATATTGAAAAGAATTGTTTCAACAAAAAAACTAAAAAAAAAAAACAGAAACTGAACTAGAAGAAACAGATAGTTCGTGGAAGAGAGAGAAGAATAGTTGGCGTAGTTTGTTTTTTTTTTTTTTTTTTNTTGTTTTTTTTTTGTAAAGAAAGAAAAAAAAGGAAGTGGAAGTTACGATAAAGAAAAAGAAAAAGACAAAAAAAAACAAGAAAAATATGAAGATAGAAAGAGGATAGAAGAAAGAGTAAAAAGGGTTGAGAGGGAGGAAGAGGGAGGAAGACGTGGCGAGCTTTAGTCGGCATATGTAAAAGGATAAACGTTTTTATTATTAAAATAATTATTGTAGACGTTCCGAAGGATACTTTTTTAGTTGAAAAGTTATATATCTATGTCGTGTGTATGGAAGGTAGAAGTAAGGAGAATCATCTGTATATATGAAAAGTGTCCGTTAAAATGCATTCAATTACGGTGGCGCCACATTAGCTTAAGAGTAAATTTTAATGGAAGCGTCAAATATTATTAGAATAGGATTGAGAAATAAACAAGGAACACAAATTTCACAACACAACATTTTATCCATAACTGTTTTGTTATTCACTGACTTGTTCATAAAATTAAATGATAAAAAATCAATAAACGTACTATTCACAGTTCACGAAATAAAATCACTCTAGCTGGCACGTTTTCTCATAATAATTCTTTAAGGTTATATTTACTATATTATTTTGTACTACGCAAGTAATTGAAATTTTCAATAATTAACTACTTTAGTCGCCAATAATATTCAATTTTTTAACTCGGCATACTTCAATTCGTTTATAATTGCTACATTCATACTATACCCTTTGTCTACACCAGCGCCATTCTGGAAGATTTTTGAACTGTTATTTATAACATACAGCTGGACACTTTTTCAAATTTTCTCCCATACGAGATGATACTCCTTACCTCTACTCTCCATAGTCGTGTGGAATATTAGGAAGTTGAAGTGAGGTTAGGTGACATGAGATAATATTGGTGGAAGTGGATGATTAAGAGAAAACAAGGGAAAAAAGAAGCAGGTAGATTCTGTGTGCGAGTGTATTGTGTATATGTGTGGTAAAAAAAGAGAGACGAGAAATTATTATTAATAATAACAAAAATAAACAAAACAAAACATACAAAAATAATAATAATAACATGTACGTTTCGCGAGAGGAACAATAATAATAATAATATTATTATTATTATTAACTATATTATTATTATAATTATTATTAATAATATTATTATTATTATTATATATATATATATATAACATTCTCTCGTTCCTTAAAAATTTGTGTGTGAAGATGCGATCAGTATATATATATATATAGTTATATATATATATATATATTCTTTTCTCTCTCAGGAGTTAAACCTTTCGCAAAGGACAAGGACAAATCATTGGAAGTTTGACAAACAGATATGTTGGTGTAAGGAAAATATGAGGAATGATAATTAATATGATTAATGATGATGATGATGATGACGATGATGATGATGATGATGATGATGATGATGATGTTTCCGTACAAGTAACTGTGCATTTTAGCTTCTAAGGAAATTAGCAAATAGGTGATAGCAATTAAGTCAAGACACATGTAGCTATGTATAACACATAAGTTTATATTACATAATAAAATCTATCGAGAAAATTAATACATATACATATATATATTATTAATATTATTATTATCATTAATTAGCATTAGGAATTTGAAAGTACATTGCTGCAAATACCAAATATAACCAGTGTTTCTTTACAGAAAAGAAATAAGTTAAAAAAAAAAGAAAAAGAAGAAGAAGAAGAAGAAGAAGATAATTCATTTATAAGATACATCTAACTCGTAAAAAGTATTATACCATCGAAAATATATCAAGGTGTGAGAAAAAGAGAAGAAAAAAAAAGAAAAACTGGAGACACGCACCCCCACCATCTGTTATTTTATTAAATATAACAAGAAAGAGAGAGAAATAATGAAGAAGAAAAAGGAGGAAGACAAAAAAAAAAACATTTTTTCCTTTAACATTTTCTCTTCTTTTCTTTTCTATCTTTTATTATTATTATTATTATTATTATTATTTTTTTCAAGCAAATAAAAGAAAAGGTTTCTTCTTCTTCTTCTTCTTCTTCATTCGTAGTTTCCATTTGAACGTTGAAAGAGCTACTTCAAAATGTAGTCACGGTCTCGTACTCCATTTTATATCATCTTCCTTTTTTTCTTCAACCACGTTCCTATCCCAACCCCCTACCTTCTACTTCTCTTGCAACAAACCCTTAACCTCCTACCCCCCCCCTCCTCCTTCATTCCTTCTTTCCTTCCTTCCCTCATTTCTTTTCCTCTTGACACGCGCAATACGAAGTTGCGGCTATCGTTGATGGTTGAAAACCATCAAAGCTTCAAGTCTCCGATTCAATTCTCTACTTTTCACTCGTGTCAATCATTCTTCTACTTCTTCTTTCTCAAACGATGTGCTTTATTATTATTATTATTTTTTTTTACTTTTATGTAACCAACGTTGCATATATTTATACTCATTTTATATTTTTTTATCATTCGATACGTTTTTTTTTT